TCGGGAAAGCCGGCCGAGCGGGCAGCGCCGCGCCGGCGGGCAGCTCGCCCCCAGGAGCCCCGCTTGTGGGAGGAAAAAGTAGTTTGCGTTTTATTTCGTTGTTCTGTGCTTTTTTTTTTGTTTGCTTGTTTCCTCTAAGCTCCCGCGAAACTCTCGGGTGGTCCCTCGGGCGCTCACGGCTTTCCCTGCGGGCGGGGACGGTCTCCGTTCGCAAAGACGATAAGGTTTTAGGTAAATAAAGAGTTTTTAGACAAGGCACCGGACGAAACCGGTCCGTTCGCTAACGAACGTATGCAGTTTCTGCAAACTACATGTTACATTACAGGAAACTAAACTGGCGGATTCTGAGCTTGCCTCTAGTGACTTTGGGAGGGACCGTGCCGGGGACCGGTCACTGGCATAAGCTACGCACAGACGGCCCCGTGCACCCCAGCGAAGGGCACGCGCCCGAACCCTGCTGGGACCAGACCTGCAGTCTCAAGCCAAGCGAAGGATTGGTCGAATCTGCTAACACTTCCACTCGCAAACCTGATGACTTCCAGGCGTGTTTCCAGGGTTTTGCACCCAGATAAGCGTGACCCCAACAACTAAGTGCTCCAGGCTCGCCGCTGCTTGGCGTCTTTAGATGAAAAAAGTGCTGCATCAATATTCTCGAGCTCTGCTGCGGCTAGTGCATCCTTCCTGCCTGCCGAGCCTGGGGGATGAGCGGCAGGGGGCCCCCCGGCGCGCGCGCGCGGTCGCACCTGGGTCACCCCCGCCCGAGACGGGACTTGGCCCATCTGCGCAGCGCTGCTCTCCTGAAGCTCCAGGAGAGCAAGCCAACGTGGACGTGCTCTCACTGAGGACAGCCAGAAGATGCTCTGCCTGTACACCTTGGAGGGCTAGAAAAGAGCAGTTGTTCCTGACCTAGCCCGGTGCTTTCCCACTCCTCCTGGGAGAACCAGCCCCAGAGGAGGCTGGATTTCAGGAGAGGAGGAAGGTCCAAATTTGATGGCCAATGCCCCTTCTGCAGAGGAGTGGAACGATACACAGGTGGAGGGTCCTCCCCCCGCCAAGCACCGCCAGCGCCTCACCACAGCTCTGCCCCGAAATCAGCAGCCGCCCGGCGGCCACCGCTCACCCCTCTGCTGCAAGGAGAACGTCAGCCGGCGCGCGCTGGGCCAAGCCAGCACCACGTGCGGCAAGGAGGCTGGCTGAGCTCTGCAGAGAGGAACGGGTGGAAAAAAGGGGTTTCTCGACATCAAGGAGACAGCTGGGACGGCAATGATGCATCACCAGCAGTTACCACGTTAAGGACAGCATTTTGCTGAGTGAGTCCTTTAGAGGAGACGTTCCTAAGCCTTTTAATGTTTTTCCGTTGTACTTTTGTAAGCAGATTGATACAGAAGATAGGTCTAGCTTGAACCTGGCTTAACTGGAGTGCCCTGAGACGTCCTACGTTGTGAGGAGAGAAACCCTTCTGGTAGAGTCTGCTAAATAAAGCTTATGTGACACAATCAGGACATCCACCCTGCCCGGCACGTGGGGCCACCCATGGCGCGGAGGATCCAGACCCCCGACACCAGCACACGCAAAACCAGAAAAAAGCAAAGTGCAGACAACGACAGCTTCAAACTTTGTTCCATTTCTGTTCTCGGGGGCCCCTGGGCCCCCATTAATAAATAACAAAATATACAAATTAAGAAACGAGACAATAAAGACGCAGAGGAACATAAATAGGGGAAAGAGGGAAAGGCCCTTTGCTCCGCAAAGGCGGGGCGGGCCTCCCCGCTACAGCTTGAAGATGCCGAAGTAGGTGCTGCCGTGGCTGTAGTTCACTAGCGTTGAGTCTGTGACGTTAACAAAGACCATGTCGCCCTCCCGCAGCTGGAACACGCCGCCCTCCCGGATGGACTGGAGGTCGCAGAAAGCCGTCGACGTGCTGTGCGTGTCCAGTCCTTTCAACAGGAGCCGGTCGTCTTCCATGGGGAGGTACAAATAAATATAGAGGGTGAAGGGTGCCGAAGCCGTCGCCTTGGTGCAGAAGCTGACCTGCGAGTAGATGTAGTAGAGCCCGGCTCTTTCCACCTTCAGCTTGCCCTGCTGGTAGGATATCAGGCTGTTCATGGGGGCGTAGCCCGTCGCCTTCCACTCTAAAACTGCGGAGGGAAAACATGGCTGGGGGGTTGGGGGAAGCGGGGAAGGAGGGCGGGCGGGCG